GAATGAATGATATTAATGATAAGAATAATGAAGTTAATGCACCAGAAATGAAGCGATAATAATAATAATAATAATAATAATAATAATAATAATAGCGTTTCACGGAGAGAATGCTCTTGTTTTCTGGCATAATAGACTTAGAAATGGTTCCTGATTAAGATGCTATTGAACTTTCCAACCATAGCGCAAATTTTCTCATACGGCAGAAACAAAGGAAACATGTTAAAAAAAATTGGAAATGGTCGAGTTGTCAACAGAAGGAATGGCGGAGAAAACGGACGAAGTAGATGAATGTAGACGAAAATAACACGTAAAGAAAGAAAGAAAGAAAGAAAGAAAGAAAGAAAGAAAGAAAAAGAAAGAAAGAAAGAAATGAAATAAATAAATAACGAAAGAAAGAAATAAATAAAAAAAGAAATGAAAGAAAGAAAGAATAAAGGAAGACACGAAAGAATGGAAATGAAATTAAGAAAGAAGCTGAATAGAGGGAAGGGTAAAGTAAACAAAAAGAAAGAAAGAAAGAAAGAAAGAAAGAAAGAAAGAAAGAAAGAAAGAAAGAAAGAATAAAAGAAAGAATAAAAGAAAGAAAGAAATAATAAAGGAAGACACGAAAGAATGGAAATGAAATTAAGAAAGTGAATAGAGGAAAGGATGGAATGTGAGGTAAAGTAAACAAAAAGAAAGAAAGAAAGAAAGAAAGAAAGAACGAATATAAAAGAATGGATGGAAGGTGATGAGAGAAAACAGATAAACGAAAGAAAGAAAGGAGGAAAGAAAGAAGGTGCATAGAGAAAGAAGATTAAAAAGCAAGAAAGAATGAATGAAAATGAACATTAAAAAAGACGGCATGAATTGGTAAATCTTAAAATATTCAAAACGAAAGAAACGAAGGTTGAACGAAAGAAAAGAGAGAAATGTGTAGAAAGAAAGAAAGGAAAGAAGGAAGAAAGAAAGAAAGAAAGAAAGAAAGAAAGAAAGAAAGAAAGAATGAATGAATGTAAATTAAAAAAAATAAAAATAGGAGGTAAGAGCGTATGATGTAAGGAAATATAACAAAAATAATGGAAAGAAAAAGAAAAAGAAAAGAACGGAAATACAAAAGGGAAACAAGATGGAGTTCAAACTTTGGATCAAAGTTGAGCGGACAAGCGAATTAAGAAATAAAAGCTGGATATTATATCGGATATTAAAATCAAATGATGAAAAAATTGTCGAATATTGAATTGACCTCGTCAGAACGGAGCACTGGTTAACCTGTAAGTATATCTTTGTTTCTTCATTTCATTTTACCGTTCCGATGAATACTTGCTTTATTAAGTTTATTATTATTGTTAATATAATAATCGACCATCGACTGACAAATAGCGTTATTCACTGTATCATGCCAATCGCTGCATGCATTATTTTGAATGCAACAATTATAATTTCATATTAACCATGTTGATTTCTCTCGAGAGCAATGCTACTCGAAGTATGGTACGCGGGCCATCGTCTGCCGGTACGCTGAGAGTTTTCCGGAAGCAAAAATACAGTAATCATATTCCACGGCACGGGAGACTGCCGGGATATTAGATTCGGTATTATATATATATATATATATATATATATATATATATATATATTCTTCATTTTAGCTTTATATTTATTATGGTTACATCTTTCAATGACTCATACTAAAGTAATTGCTATAGAACAAACAGTTGCGCTATAATGAAGAGCAAAACAGTGAACTGAGATACGTATGACAACACCATCCCGATGAATTGGCGTTTGACTGCGTGAGAACGATACCTAGAAATACCAAAAAGGGGTACTTTCATGGACACATATTTCTAAGTTGGCCTTTAAAAATTCGCCTGAATGTTAAAAAAATGGATAGACTCGTGGATTTAGGTCATATTTCTTTTTTTTAAATTGGCATTTAATTCCTTAGATTCATAATTTAACTACATATCTAAAAAAGGGGGCACTGAGGATGCACCCCTCCCCGAACACACAGATGGATTGGTAAGCAGCACTTCTCGGTCCTTCGCACATTAAAAAAAATCTGCTGGTATGCCACATCAAATAGTTTGAGAAGTACTGCTCTATAATACAGGACCACGTCCTCACTAACCTCGAAGTTGCGGTTTTGGTTTCCCTATTAAGTAATTTTAACATGGTAGAGTTTTTAGTCCTATGCCTGTTTGAATTAAGAGCTTCAATCTGTTTAGCCTAAAGCCATTATTATTATTATTATTATTATTATTATTTCCTTGGGCAACAAAAATTGCAATATGAGCACTGGTAAAAAACAGGTACTGAAAACATTACGTTTATAATACCCAGAAATTCATATACAGATGTCCTCAGATGGCACAATGGATAAAGGCGTTATTTAGATCCAGTGTGAGGACCCGAAGAGTTCGATTCCTGGTTAAGACGGTGGAAAACTTGGAGAAGGGAATTAACAGGAGATAACTGACATCCATTAGACATGGCACATGGAACTAGAACAGTCTAGAGTGAGCGAAATAAAGGATTCAGTTCGATATTCCAACCACCCGAAGAAGTCCGGGGCGTACAATATTGTCCTTAAACGCCAAGCGTTATAAGGACATTAGTCCGAATAGTTTACATAATAAGTCATCTCAGGATATATAGACAGATATTTCCTTTGACTTCTGTTGCACACACATTTCATTCCGGGTGTGAGATTTAAGGTCACACATATTTTACATAAATAAAGCTCATTTTAATGTGTGAGTACAATTTCGTTTTGTATTTATTTAAGGCATTGGATATCAGACTTCCATTCAACGAGTTTAACGGAATCTTTTCCAATCAATCCGAGGGATCCAACTACAACTGGAATTATTCATGTGCCACATATTTTAGATTTCCACTTTAAGATTCTTGTATTTTGATAGTTTCTTGAAGTTCTTCAAAGATACATTACAATCTGCAGAGACTGCAATATTATCATTATTATTATTATTTTTTTTATTTTCTTTGATTTCTGGCGTTTACACATTTCTTTCCGGGTCTCGCACAGGGACCTAAAGTTAGAAATGGCGTCATGACACTTTCCACTGACAAAAAAAAAAAAAAAATAAATTACATAGATAAAGCCCTTCGTAAGGTGTGGGCTGTACTTGTCAGAACAATTTTTTGTATCTCCTTGAGGCATGGACTTCCAGGAATCCCTTCAATTAGTCTATTGCAATCTTTTCCAACAAATCCTAGGGCTCCAACTACAACAGGGATTGTTGATGTTCCCATATGCCACATTTTCAGATTTCTATTTCAAGGTCCTTGTACTTTGACAACTATTATTATTATTATTATTATTATTATTATTATTAAGTTGGTGCAAAATAATGACGTAATAATGTCGTTTTTGACGTTAAAAATACGTCAAAACGACATTATTACGCCATTATTTTTTTGCACCAACTTTATTATTATTATTATTATTTTATTATTATTATTATTATTATTATTATTATTATTATATAAATTATAATTTATTGCTGTTGTTGTTGTTAATGGTGATGTTCCAATTCCAGGATAATTTTTCCTGGTGCTCTTGTAATTATCACGCCAATGATGTCGATGATGTTGCAAGCGTTGTTTCAAATATCACTGCCAGTTTTAAATGTCATACCTCGAAGGTATATGAACATTATTTCTTTTTCTCGTTAGCCTCATTTCCACTAAACTTTTTTATTTGTTCATTTTTCTTCTTTTTTTCCCCTGTTGTTAGAAATCCGACGCTGATATTAGAAGATGATTTATAGTCCATTTAATATTTTAAGATATGTTTTGAAAAAAAAAAAGATGCGGAAATGGGGGGGGGAGAGGATCAATCATTTAGGATGGGAGGCTGAAAAGCTCTTGTCAAGTCTCTATTTTCTAAACATCAGTATTTATTTTGGATCATCTTCTTTGTCGAATCAAAATCTTTTCGGCACATCTTTCACCATAAAGCTCGCAGGAGCAGCGCATTACACGGTATTCAACTCCAAATATTCTATCGTCATTGTTATCTTCGAAGTTATAACAGGCAGGTCTGGTGTCTACTACCGGAGGGTCGTCAAGCCTCATTGGCAGCCCCTAACATTGCTTTCTGAACCTCGTTATCTTTTTTTTTTCTGCTTACATCTATATACGTTACAAATTTTATTAAGCAGAAATGACTATTAACGAATAATAGTTTTCGCGGATTTTGATGTCATTCTGTGGTCTTTTTTTCCGTTCAAATCTATGAATTTGTTCTGCTTATGCTAAGTCTGGTAAAAAAAAAAAAAAAAAAACACTAGATAAAATTCACTACTTTTTAATTTTTTTTTTAATAAAATTCACTACTTCTTTAATTTTAAAGTTGAATGTGTTAAAATACTTCAACTTTTTAACAAGAACAATCTCAAGTAGTTTTTTTTTTTTTTTTTTTTATCTTCTCTTCATCCGTCGGGTGATTTCCAGTATTCACTACAATATAGCAAATCTTAAATTACATAAGAATTCAGTACGCTTTTCTTTGTTTCTGACGAGGTTATCTTGTTTCTTGATACTTTGCTTATGTTTTAGGAAGCATCTTTTACTGTTCCAATGTGAAGTCAGCAGACAAACATCGTTCATTCGAAGTTAGTCTCGTCGACTTTTTCGAAAATGTTTTAGGAAATCCACAACAGTAGGATCTATATCATACATGGACACGATCCAATTCACCTTTTGATATTTAAATCGTGATACGAAAACAATTTGTCGATTACATTAAGGAAAATTGCATGAATATTTGAAATTCCTGAAAATGATTATTATCACTAATTAAATGAGGAAAAAAATTCAGTGTAAAAAAAAACTGAATGAAAGTGTTTGTCTCTTCAATACCCAGATGGGAAAATAAGTATTCACCTCACACGCACACCATATATCGCCAGGCGAGATAGATAGATAGATAGATAGATAGATAGATAGATAGATAGATAGATAGATCGTCAGGCGAGATGGATAGATCGTCAGGATAGATAGATAGATAGATAGATAGATAGATAGATAGATAGATAGATAGATACCCAGGCGAGATAGATCGATAGATCTTCAGATAGATAGATAGATAGATAGATAGATAGATAGATAGATAGATAGATAGATAGATCGTCAGGCGAGATGGCTAGATCGTCAGGCGAGATAGATAGATAGATAGATAGATAGATAGATAGATAGATAGATAGATAGATAGATAGATCGTCTGAAAAATCAACATATTGCCATTATTTCCTCTTCGATATACATGCGCACTATCAATCTTAGTTGTCGCCGCTGTTGAAAATGATGTGACTTCTGTTATTTAGTACAGTTCTTTGTCTGTGATTCTGATGCTTCATTTCAAAATGTTCACAGAAGAATAGTCTTCACTAGGACCTACAGACTTCATTCCCGCGAAGCCATATTCAATGATTGATCTAAAGGAGGCGGTTTTATACCGCTAACAGTTTAGATATTTCTAAACGAGTTAGGCATCATGCATGACATCGATATGAACGTCTTGACCTGACGATACCAGTCAGAAGTCTTACAATCGCTACTTAGATGCCATTTGCTGCTGTCTCCATCACCAAGCCTTCCTTTATTATATCATTACCAGTCGTAGTTTGATAATAATCATTACTACTTTACGTTTGTTTTTTTTTCTTGTAGTGTGACTTTTATTTTCGTTAAAATTATCATCCTGTCCAACCCTTTCCTGTTCATATATGTCATTTGTAATTAGCTTCTGTTTACAGACCTTATTGCATTTCTGTGTTTTTTCTATTATAATTTTGTTATGATTCTCGAAGATATTTTTAACTTAACCTTCAACAGACCAATCACATTCTATATTTGTTTTTATATATAATTTTCATTTATTTCGTTTTTATGAAGAATTTACTCTATTTTCTCTCTCATCTTGTTTTTCTCTTGTTCCTATATTTCTCTGGTTGTTTTAATTTTTGTATTTCTCTCCTGTTCATTGTTTTATTGGTTTTACATATTTTACAAGTATTTCTATTTCAAAAGATTTAATTTGATTATTACTTTTTTTTTCTTTTAGTTCTTTTTGTTTCTTTTTGAATCACGGTAAATTCTGATTTTTTTTTTTTGTCTTTTTTTGTTTTAATTCTCTCTCGAAAATAACTTAAATTCTGTTTTATTTATTTTATTTTTTTTTAATTTATTTATTTATTTTTAGTTCAGTTCACTTCTCGTCTTTTCTCGTGTGTTTTCACCACTTTAATGATTTTTGATTTCAACTTTTTCTCTCCAATATAACTTCGTTATATTCCACTGTTTCAATGTTTTCTATTATTTTTGATTTCGCTAAAAGTTTCCTCCATTTTGTTTTTGTCCGTTTCTTCACTGTTTTTTCCCCATTTTTCTTTCTTTATTTGTAACCACATTTCAATGAAAATCTCTTCTCTTCAATTTTCATTGCTTTCTGCTCTCTCAGTTTATTTAAGGATTTTTAAAATAAATTACTGCTTTCTCTCTCAACACAATTCACGTCTTTCCCTTCTCATCGTTTCAATGTTCTCAGAAATTCTGAGAGAAATTCAGACTAATATCCTGTTTACTGTTGCAGGAAATATAACAAAAGGACGAACTTGTTCGATAAAAATTCGCAATTTATTAAATCATGCAGTCCTTAAAAACTCACCAGCAAACGAATGAATGTTTGCGATAAAATGAATTCTTCCGCCTCTTAGGAACTATTCTCTGGGTTTCATTTTTTAGACATTTAAAAGAGATTTGAATATTAGACGAGATTGGAATTTCTACTAGTCAAGAAGTTGTCAGTTCTTGCAATTTCTTGTTTCCTAAACATTTCGTTTGTTCTGACATCATTAAATTCATTTGTGTGGCTTTTCTCTTAATCTTTCTTTCATATTTGTTATCCATTTTTCGGCTTTCGTTTCCTTTATATCTCAGTTTTGACTTCTCTTTATGGCGCCATTTCGCCACTTCTCTCTTCATTTCTCATCTCTTCCCGCCTCTTTCAACAAACAGCTATTGTTTCATTCATTTTATATAATCCTGTTGTCAACATCATTATTATCATTATAGTCGTATGTCTTAATTACGCCTAGACAAAACGAAGTGTGTTCTTTAATTATTAATCAGAAGCAGAAGCTGAGAAGAAGGAAAACTGGTAAAGCCGTGTTTGTTGATGTGTGCTTTTGACATGACTTCGACACAGATGGCGAAAAAAAATATGAAGGGCCACACCCACGTGACAAAGGTCATGGTTAGGGCGGGTTTTTAGTATCTGATTTGGGCGTTGAGATAATCTGGATGATTTTTTTTTTTTTGCGTATTTATAAAATATTTTATTTTATAATTTAGTCGTTTGAACAGGCAGGCACTGTGTTGTGCAAATGGGAGCTGAGGTTGGCTGTTTTTGTTTTTTTTTGTTTCTTTTCTTTTTGTTTGTTTTTTTTTAATTTCACAAATGATTTGGGTATGGGTAAAACAAGGAAGTTGATCTGTGTTACAAAAACATCTTGGACGTTAGATGAGATAAAAATCACATTATCTGTTTTCGCAGGAAAGATTTAATTTGTATTTATTTAATATTTATTCATGTAAATCACTGAACATTGGGATCAAACCTAAAGTCTCTTACTTTCCATAAAGCACTAAAATATCTGCTCGCATAAATGTTTGGTTTGGCTTATTTTGTTTTATGGCATATCAACACCTCAATGGGTTATTTAATGCCGATGAGATTTTAAAGATAGATTCGTATGAACAGAATATGTATTCTTTTAGTTTAGATTGGATTGGTTTTATTTTGTTTTACGGCATATCAACCTCAATGGGTTATTTAATGCCAGCAATTTTTTAGGATAGATTCCTATGAATAGAATATGTATTCTTTTGTTTAGATTGGATTGGTTTATTTTGTATTATGACATATCAACCTCAATGGGTTACTTAATGCCGACAAGATTTTTAGGATAGATTTGTATGACGCACGCAATTCTGACAAAATTCTTTATTGCTTGTAATATTTTGTTCTTTTTCTGGTATAATTTTTCCTTCAAAATTGTATTGCTGGTATGGATGAAAATGATTGAAGAATTTTCTGTCCTGTGGATGTCGTTGTCAGGGACAATCAAAGACTGACCCGGTCGAAATACAAAAAGGGGACGAAATTTTTTTCTGGGCGAAGTTTAAATGATCCCATACCTTCAACTTGCTGTCAACATCAAGGTTATTACTCCAGGGATGCGAGTAAAGTTCGTGGGATCCTTCATCGAAAAAAATAGTCTCAAGATAGCCTTCCTCTGTGAGGAGAGATCCCTCTCAAGAGCCTTTCTGACTATCTGGCAGATGGCTTCCTCCTCAGGTAAGGAGTTCATCTTTTATGGGCGGTGATAATCGTAAAAAAATGACTGCAGAACACATATCCCTTCCCATTTTATAGGCAAAACCGCACAAATGCATGCTGGGATTTTTTTCTTAGCGAATAAAATAGACCGGTTTGCCATTTGACTTAACTTAGTCCCGATTTGCCTTGTCTAGAAGAGAGACGCCTACGTTCAGTTGTCCGAACTTGTTTTTTTGTGTTGACGCCAATTCTTTGTGAACTTTTTGTTACTATCAATTTGACTTTACGGTGGAGTAATGGATAGCGGCTCGGATTAAAGAATCGGAGAGCCAGGTTCGAATTCCAGTCGAATCCATTACATTCACTTAAGTGTTAATAACATTCGGAGAGGTATTAGTCCTCTTCTTCTCTAAAGCTATGGGTAAATAACAGGACAGATTGGGTTTTATAGCCTTGGTCTACTGCAGAATGAAATGGCAACCTATTGCAGGAAAAAATCTGCCTAGTCGGCCATGTATCGAAAGATAAGCGTGTATCTCTCATGGCACATAACTGACTGTTAATTTGCCTTGTATATATTATTTGCTTGTTTGAGAGAGATGGGAGGGGAAAGGAAAGAGGGAGGAC